ATAACTTCCATTTTGGGTATCGAGAGTAGTTTTATCCAATCAATACTAAGGAGAGCTACACGTAGTGAACTAACTATTATGTCAACATCGACTGTTCAAGTTAGTCATACTTTACTAGCATTATAACATGTTTTTATTAATCTTTAGCCATTTCTTCATATATGGGATTGTGGTGGTCAGCCAGTGTTCCTTGAGATTCTCCCAGCCTTCCTCACTCCTCGTACAATGTTTCTCCTCCTGTTTGATGCTTCAAAGGATTTCAGGGAAAGATGGCAGTCACGTCAGAATACCCCTGATGGTGAAGTGCTGTTTGGTGAGGTAGTGAATGAAAGCACGAGTGATCTAATGGCCAAATGGATGTCTACAATACACAGTCACCTCGTGAAGCACAACAAAGATGATACTTCTTCTCCTAGTCTCTATTGTATTGGCACTCGTGGGGACAAGCTAAATTCAGAAAGCAAGAAAGAAGCAAAGGTGCAAATCCAGTCCCTATACAAGGAGAAAAAGTTCTCAGATCTTATTAAAGATGTACTGATCATTGATAATACAACCTCAGGAAAGGGGAAAAGGGAAGATCCAAGCATTACGGAATTACGTGGAGCTATTGATGGTTTCATCAAGACATTAGTTGTTCCAACCCCTCTCAATTGGGTTCTGTTTCGTAAAGTGTTTCAAAAGCTAGAGAAGAATGTCATTAGTGTATCTGATGCTATTGCCATTGGAGTGGCATGTCATATACCAGCAGCTGATCTTCCTGAAGTATTGAAATTCTACCATGAGCTGGGAGCTCTTCTTTACTATCCTCAAATAGAAGGTCTGAGGAATAAAGTCATTCTCAATCCAAAATGGTTTGTTGATATCATTGGGAAGGTGTTCCCACTTGAGAAAGGATGGAGTGGAGGGAAAAGATGGCTGTTGTTTCAAAGTAAAGGTATTCTTGTTCAACCACTTTATCAAGAAGTATGGCAGTCAAGTGGTATTGATCCAGAAGAAATAATTGAACTTTTAGTTCATTTTCGTCTGGCAGCTCAAGTTCAAATTGAGGTTGATGATTCTAAACAATATTTTCTTCCAGCAGCTCTACCAGGATACACAGGTGATTCTAATGAAGTACGACCTGGTTGTAAGCTAAGAGCCTCACCTGTACACATTACATTCTCCACTGAGTATGTACCTCCTGGCTTCTTCACTCGTTTAGCAACCACTGTTGCTGCAAATAATAATATCAAGCTTAATTTTAATGTAGCACACTCTGAAGTTGAGAGAAGAAGTATCTATCGTAATCGTGTCTGCTTCTCTTATGGTCATCCTTCTGATGATTTTGTTCTCACTGATGTTAATAAAGCTATTCAAGTTGATGTGTTTCGATATTTACCTGAGAGTAGTCATCCAGTTCCTTTCAAAGCAGTTTGTCAAGACATATTAGAATTGCTAAAGAAATGTTGTAAGAAAGTAGAAGACACCCTTTATGGTTACCACGGGCATCATATAACTCAATCATCATCAAGAGATGTTCGTTATGTCTGTGAGTGCAAGTATTCCAGTTCCAATGCAGTTCATTATATAGAAGTTGATGCTGAGAAGCAAACTTGCTCTGATCAGGTTTATTGTGAAAAGGTTAGAAGTACTCGTTCCCTAACTACAAGAGAATCAATGTGGTTTCAAGACGAGTTCTCCTATTTGAAATGTAAATACATGTGTACCTTGCAGTTGCAAATCATGTTTTCTTTTTTGTATACAGATCTCATTCAGTTTGGAGTTGGTCTCATTTCTTTAATTATTTTATTGATGCTTCTTACATTTTCATTCACTGTTCTAATTAATAATAGCTCAACTACAGCAAATGAAGCAAGTAAATTTTATCATTAAAGTGACTACTTTGTATGGACATGTACTAACTAGTTGCTTATGGATGCATTAAAAATTGTTTTTACTCTTCCTTCAGATATCTTGACAATTAGCGACTTGCAAAAAGTATTAGATGTATTGGATGATGGGTACTTTCCTAGTAACAAGTGGTTTCAGCTTGGATTGTCCTTGGGCCTGTCAAATCCAAAGTTAGAAACAATTGAAGACAATTATCCAAAGAACAATGAAAGATGCCTTCAAAATTGTCTGACATTATGGCTGAAAGAGAATATTGAAGTAACATGGAGCAAATTAGCTGATGCTGTTGATAACACTGGAGAAAAAGCTGTTGCAGCTTATATAAGTAAGTATAGCTATAACAAATGAATTACTGCTATTATTAATTTAGGAATAAGAAAAGTACAGAGCAAAAGTGAACTGTAGCATCTCCCCAAAATTACAATGACACATGCAGATTACATTTTAGTATTCAAAATGTACACGTACATTATTTGATTGAATGCACACAAAAATCTATACCAACATTATGAGCACAACCATGCAACCTTCATGCTAGTTTGTAATGAATGATTTCTTATTAGAATAAAGAAAAATGCTTGCCCATTCTTATCTAAATAATTATTGCATAAGGGGAAGTCACAAGATTGTCCTTGTGTATTTAATTACTATAGTATGTTCAGGTTGACTTCTAACAAAATGAAACTTAAATAACTCAAAGGCTTTTAATCTAATCAATACCAAATTTACACACAGATATATTCTCAGCAATGCGCTTCATTTGATGTATA